GCAGGTCCACTTCGTCGTATAGACCCTAATATACGGCTACACTCGGAATTTTTAAGAATTTAACAGAATTTTTAACGGATTTTATTTTTTTGAAAATTGCCAAATTTGTACCAAATGGTGGAGGGTATTCAAAATTCGGCCCGGCCGAACTTACAGCATTTTTGATGTTTTTTTTTTCATATTTAAAACATTTGGAGTTCATCTGCCAATATCCGTGCGACGACAATTTTAAAGGCCCAATATTTTTATCAAATTTAATTTGTTTTGGAGATGATGAATATCGACCCACTCCCTCTGGCGACTCGCTCACAAAAGTGTAAAGTGTTTCGTGAACAACACAAATCTTATATTGAGTGATGGTCATAGCTCAAACTGGTATCATAGTAATATTTAGGCCAGGTATGATTTTGAATATTAACAAGTTGAATAGTATCAGTCGATTTTACCGACAGATGTATACCTCCAGCCTTGAATTATGATTATTCTAACTGTTGTCCCTCTATGGGGTAGGTTCCGAAGCAGTTGGCCAATATTGACCAATTTGTATCTGACCTAAGACTGATATAAATATTAAAACGTGTCATATTTCGACTATATCGATTACTTCCCATACTTTATATGAGATATGTGCAAATGTTTGGAAAATGTGAAAATATGCGTGTGGTACCAGATATAGCAAACCGAAATATTGCACTTCATCTAATACAGATAACACCATTGGTACGCGCAATCGAACATTTATATCCAATTTTATACGAAATAATAAATTCCGATAAATTACATATTCATATCAGATTTTTTGCCAAGGGAAATATTTCGACATTGCAAGGTGTTTAGAATAGCCGTCTTATTTCGCAATTATGGCGGATATAAGTATTGGAAATTGTGATATTCAAAATTTTGACCCTTTGTGGGGAAGATCCCAGAAAGAGAAACCCGATACATTCCAGATGTTGTGTTAGTAGAAATAATGGGATGTGCCAAATCAGAATGGAATCGGATATTTATTTCGCGACTTATGAGCTTCATAGATATTCAAAATGTTGCCGCTTTATGGGGAAGGTACCAGTAGGAGTGGACCATATATTCCATCTTCACACCTGACCTACATCTGATGCAAATATTAGAATTTACAAAGTTGGAGCAAAATCGGATTATCCTTTCTCTCTCAGTAAAATAAAATATTTTCTTTGAAAATTTCGACCTTTTGGGTGGGTAGGTACCAGAAGGAATGGACCGTTATTGCCCCTCTCCGAACTCGATCTAAGATTGATAATAATATTACTATGTACCAAGTTTGTATTAAATCGGATATCCTTTCGAGAGTTATCGTGCGTACCAACCAGCCAGACAAACGGACGAACATCGCTAGATTGAATCTAAATGTCCTGAAAGAGACCTAGGGTCTAAAACCGTTATTTCGATGAGGCACGTTTTGGACATATCAAATGATATATACCCTCTCCAATCACGTGATATCCGTGTCCAATTTTTCCATACCCTACACCACATAAAGGGTATTATATTTTTGTGCATTTGTGTGTAATACGGAGAAGAACGCGAGATAGATCCATATTTGCTTTCAGTATCTTCATAGAATCACTTTCTGAGTCGATTTATGCATGTCTGATTGGCTGTCTGTCCATGCATGTTTATAAAAACAAAATGCAGGTCGCATTTTTTGTCCGATTGAAATTAAAATTTTCAAACAATATTTGTTTCGCTCAAGGACAACCCCTATTGAACCCTAAATTGGTGGGAATCGGTTCAAATTCAGATATAGCAAATGGCCTATATTAGTCCAGATGACCTGAATCTCGACACATCCGACTAAATTAACTCTAGAAGCAGGTACATCATGAATGATATCTGGTACCAGAAAACTTATGGAGCACAAAAATACCTCCGTCAAATTTGATCCAGATCAGATTAGATTAGGATATATCGTTATCTGATATCAGGCTTTTTGTGCACCAAATTTTTTGGCAATTCCAACTGAATTTATCCTGGAAACAAGTACAATAAATTTGATGAAAATCGGTTCAGATATAGATATAGTTCCCATATATATGTTTCATCCGATTTGGTGTTTAAGTCCCTAGCATTCGTAATATGCACTCCGCAACAATGATCTTTGGTACCAGATATGAAATACAGCTATAAACAATGTGCTTAAAATTTTGTCAAGATCGGTTCAGATTTGGATTGGTTTGTTGTGCACCAAATTGCTAATATCAGCCCAAATGGACTGAATTTTGACACTTCCGACGGAATTCAACCTAAATTTCTTCAAATTTTGGTGAAAACTGATTCAGATATAGCTATAGCTCCCATAGATATCATTCCTAAATTAATCGCATCATTTTTATTTACGATTTTTAAGATGATTCTGAAAGAAAATTGGATATTTATGTTATACGTATAAATCAATTTCTAACCAAAGATAAATTTTTATTTTTTTTCAGAACGAAAATACTTTATCGGAGATTGAAATCCATTAACTCGGTTATCAATGAGGTAAGGCTTAAAAAAACCAAGTAATATTCTAAAAATATTAAGTGTCCTGAAAGTAAAGAAAATCATGCCTTAAAGACTGGAAATATAAAAACTCTATTTTTCGAATCGAAATAGGGATATTTTGAGAAAAAACATCCGAATTTTTATTCAACCTAAATACAGTTTTAATTATTAAGCATTCCATATAAGATCTTGAATCAATTACCCCAGCATTATTTCGATTTAAAAATATTTATTTTAATATATTCCCACCCAGAACAGCAAGAAACTACCTATGGAGAAATCTCAAGAATGTCAATGTACTTTGAGCAATGTTTCTAAATTATTAAAAATCATGTGTCGTTCCAAAGCTTGCAGTGCATATAAATGTTCAAATTACCGCTCTAGGTACCTCCAACATTTCAAGCGTAGCTTGAGAAAAGCAACCACCATGTGAGAAAGACCGAGAAAGAGAGGAGAAATAAAACATGTTTGGATTATATAATTTTTATTACGGAACGGGAAAAAAGAATGAAATGCGGCATTAAAAATTAACATTGACCGACCATGCGACCAAGACTTAGACGACGAAACGAGCTTGTCGCTCGCATGCGCGCACAATCGAACAAACGTACGGGGCGCACATGCAGACACACTCACATCCAGTTGGTTATTAATAAAACATCTCGTTTTAATCACGTCAAACGCACGCATATGGCACAGTGGTTATGTACTAAATATTTAATATTGAATTATATAATATTAATATAATATATAATAATATTAAATATTAAATATTAATTATTAAATATTAAATATTAAATATTAAATATTAAATATTAAATATCAAATATTAAATAATAAATTTTGAATATTAAATATTAAATATTGTTAAATATTAAACATTAAATACTAAATATTAAATTTTAAATATTAAATATTAAATATTAAATGTTAAATATTAAATATTAAATATTAAATATTAAATATTAAATATTAAATATTAAATATTAAATATTAAATATTAAATATTAAATATTAAATATTAAATATTAAATATTAAATATTAAATATTAAATATTAAATATTAAATATTAAATATTAAATATTAAATATTAAATATTAAATATTAAATATTAAATATTAAATATTAAATATTAAATATTAAATATTAAATATTAAATATTAAATATTAAATATTAAATATTAAATATTAAATATTAAATATTGAATATTGAATATTAAATATTAAATATTAAATATTAAATATTAAATATTAAATATTGAATATTAAATATTAAATATTAAATATTAAATATTAAATATTAAATATTAAATATTAAATAATAAATATTAAATATTAAACATTAAACATTAAATATTAAATATTAAATATTAAATATTAAACATTAAACATTAAATATTAAATATTAAATATCAAATATTAAATATTAAATATTAAATAATAAATATTAAATATTAAACATTAAATATTAAATATTAAATATAAATATTAAATATTCAATATTAAATAGTAAATATTAAATACTAAATATTATTAAATATTAAATATTAATTATTAAATATAAATATTAAATACTAAATATTCAATATTAAATATTAAATAGTAAATATTAAATACTAAATATTATTAAATATTAAATATTAAATATAAAATATTAAATATTAAATATAAAATATTAAATATTAAATAGTAAATATTAAATACTAAATATTATTAAATATTAATTATTAAATATAAATATCAAATATTAAATATTAAATATTAAATATTAAATATTAAATATTAAATATTAAATATTAAATATTAAATATTAAATATTAAATATTAAATATTAAATATTAAATATTAAATATTAAATATTAAATATTAAATATTAAATATTAAATATTAAATATTAAATATTAAATATTAAATATTAAATATTAAATATTAAATATTAAATATTAAATATTAAATATTAAATATTGAAAATTAAATATTTAATAATAAATATTCCAAGAAAACACTGTCCCAACTACAGACAATGACAAGATAAACTGGTAGCAACCAAAGATCATAAATAATTGATTGTAACAACAACAACAAAACCAACTAGCCTATACTTAATAAAGATCCATCCAACTACCAATAACAATTAGCATATTATACCTGTTGCTTAATACCACAACAACAACAACTTTTAAAGAAAGACAGATAAAAATAACCAATTCAACTCCCTCCCAAGCGGGCGAGTGAAAAACACGCATGCGCACCTCTTTACAGAGAGGTGTGCGCGCTAGACCAGACACCAACAATTTGTAAAACTCTTGGTATTAACCGGCTTTTTGAGTGACACTCAAGTTGAAAGTGAAGTTGAGTATTCAGCTGCAAGAAGACAAAGACGGCCCAAAACGACTCAATCAAAACTGGCTGGGTTGGTTGGGATTATGTTATGCTTTGGAGGGGGCTCTGGTGTGGCTCAATTCAACAAGACATTTCTTTAGACCTCAGCTCCGACAGTTGTCGGTACACATTGAAACTCAAAAGACGTGGATAGCGCATCGAACCGAAAGACTGATTACGGGTATAAGGTTAAAGCCGCTCTCGCTCTTTCTGCTACGAAAACTCCCGCACGCATACAAACGCATTCGTGCAAAATAAGGAAATTCAACTAAAAACCATTAAAAGTTTTGGTTGAATTTTTCCTCAAAAAAAAGAAAAATAATTATTGAAAAAAAAACTAAGCTATTGTGTCAAACAATAACAGAAAACAAAAAGAAAAATTAGTCATTATGTTTACGTCAAATAGTTTTAAATTATTTTCTGCCCTGCTCTTTGTGGCGGTCGTGGTTACAGGTGAGTTAATTAAAAAAAAATAAAAAATATAGATTTTGAATTAGTGGTCTCTAAGTGATTGAAATCAGGGCAACGGCAGCCCTACCCTAAAATAAAATGAAAATTAAATATCTGCATGGATTTTCGATTTTGGATACCTTTCTGGAAAATGGTAGCAAACCTATTCCATTTCCATGCTCTGCAGCACATTTCCATGCTATACAGTTGTCCGTCCAGCGAAAGTGGTTTAACATTGTTTTCGACAAATATTCACCTGGAATTTCCGCATATTTTTCCAATAAAAAAAATATTTATTTAAAAAATTTATAAAATTCGAAATCGATTCATTCATTTTGCCTTTCTGGTCGCTTCGTACTGCTCGTCGTCATCACCATCGTCATTCGTATGTATATTGCATACGTTGCATTTTTCACACCCGACGTTGGCAGTGCAACGAAATGAATGGAAGTGTTTCAAAACAAAAGTATGGATTACAGTTGAGATTGTAATTACAACTAATGTGGCTATAGCGATTGGAGGAGAGAAACTTGTTTTTCTTAGCCTCATAAAATCAATCTCACAGCACACAACAATGGAAAGATTTATGCAACACGTAGAACAATGTTTTTCGAACGAAGAAGGCATGAACCTTCAATAAGTTCAAGACTACAGACAGCTTTTCATAGCCTCCACGATACTATGGCGGGCATATTAACTTTGTCTTTCCATTTGTAACTCCTCAAAATACTCAAGTCAGACCCAACAACTTATATATGTTCTTGATCAGCGTAAAATTCCAAATCGATTTAGCGATGTCTGAATGTCTTTCTGTTGTAATTCCCTGTCTTTGGGACGAATTGAGATAGAAGGGTAAAATTTTGCACAAATGCGGAATTTTTTCAAATTTCGAATTTAAACTTTGTAATAGGTACTACAGCCTATGATAAAAAATCGCTTATGTGGACCTGCATACCTGGACCTTCGTAAGCCCCCATATAATGATACCTCCCGATATTGGATATTTTGATGATTTTAGCGACATTATTCACCGGAATTGTTTGTATTTGAAGTTCGTTACGGATACTGCAGCTTAGCCCAAATTGAAAGTTTTTATTCAAATGATAATTTTCTACTATTTTTTTTTTTTAATTTTTCAAGTTTTTTTAATTAATTTCGGCTAAAATGTGCCTAGTCGAAATAACCCTAGGTCTTCTTGAACCAAATTCATTTCAGGACATTTGGAGACGATCCAGCCATGTCCGTTCGTACATCTGTCTGTCTGGTGCGCACGAGAAGAGAGTACCCGATTTGAATTTGAAGATCGTTATGAGTACTACAGTCTATGAAACAAAATTACTTATGCAGGTCCACTTATGTCCCCCATTCAAAATTTCCTTCAATGGGTGCCAAACCTAGCTGCCTTTTTTATACCCTCAGCCATATGGCTAACGGTTTTAGACCCTAGGTCTCTTTGAACCGAATCCGTTTCAGGACATTTGGCGTCGATCTAGAGATGTCCCTCCGACCGTCCGTCTGTCTGGCTGGTGCGTACAATAACTCTCGAAAGGAGTATCCGATTTCGTCCAACCTTGGTACATCGTTTTATTTTTGTCAACCTTCGATTGAGTTTGGAGATGGGTAATATCGGTCCACTTCTTCTGGTTCCTCCCCCACAAAAGGTCGACATTTTTATATCCTCAGCCATATGGCTACAGAGGGTATATATCATTTGATACGGTCTCTTTGGGCCAAATCCGTTTCAGAACATTTGGAGTCGATCTAGCGATGTCCGTCCGTCCGTCCGTCTGTCTGACTGATGCGTACAATAACTCTCAAAGGGAGTATCCGATTTGGTCAAAACTTGGTACATCGTAATATTATTATCAAACTTAGGTCGAGTTCGGAGATGGGCAATATCGGTACACTCCTTCTGGTACCTTCTCCACAAAAGGTCAAAATTTTAAAAAAAAAATTTACTGTACAGAAAGAGAAGGATAATCCGATTTTGCTCCAACTTTGCAAATCCAAATATTTGCGTCAGTGTTAGGTCAGGTGCGAAAATGGACAATATCGGTCCACTCCATCAAGTACCTCCCCCACAAAGGGTCAACATTCTGAAAAATTGCAACGCTTATTAAATGTGATGTAAGAATCCGATTGTCTTCAAATTTCACATATTCAAATAATTTCATTAACCCAAGGTCTGGTGTGAAGATGGAATATATCGATTCACTCCTTCTGGTACCTCCCCCACAAAAGGTCGAAATATTCAAAAAAATATATTTTTTGCACAGAAAGTGAAAGGATAATCCGATTTTGCTCCAACTTTGCTCATCCTAATATTTTCGTCAGTGCTAGGCCAGGTGCAAAAATGGACAATATCGATCCACTCCATCAAGTACCTCCCCCACAAATGGTCAAAATTTTGAATAATTACAACTCTTATAAAATGTGATATAAGAGTAAGATTATCTTCAAATTTCACACATTCCAATATTTTTACTAACCCAAGATCTGGTGTAAATATGGAATATATTGGTCTTCTGCTTCTGCTACCTCCCCCACAAAGGTCAAAATATTTAATATCAATGAAGCCTATAAAACGCTTCTGTTTCCATTCAGACTTGGTACATCTCACTATTTCTATCAACACAACATCTGTTATAAAGATGGTAGAGATCGGACCATTTCTTCTGGTACTTCCCCCACAAAGGTTCAAATTTTTTGAATATCAATAACGATTATAAAATCCGAAATAAGCATCTTCTTTTCTTCTTCTCTTCATACAAGATATGCTGTGAAGATAGGATATATTAGTCCACTCTTTCTGGTAAACGACCCCCCCATCTCCAAAGAGTCAAAATTTTGAACATCCTCGAAGCTTATAAAACTCGAAATTGACATTCGATTTCATTAACACTTGGTACATCTCAATATATCCATGAACACAAGATCTGCCATAAAATTAATAGAGATCGGACCATTTCTTCTGGTACCTCCGCCACAAAGTTTTAAATTTCTGAATATCTAAAACGATTATAAAATCCGAAGATGCGATATATTGGTCCACTCCTTCTGGTACCTCCCCCACAATAAAGAGATCGGACCATTTCTTCCGGTACCTCCCCCACATAGGGTTCAAGATTTTGAAAAATAAAACGCTCAAAGAAAGAGAAATAAGCATCTCTTTAAATTTCACACGCACAAACATTTTTGCTAACACAAGATCTGTTGTAAAGATGATATATATCTGCGAACCCCTTCTGGTACCTCACCCACAATTTTCAATTCTTTTATTGGTCATAATTTGCGTAACAAGACAGCGACTCTTTATAACTGCCTATACCTAAATATTTCTCTGAACCAGAAATCTGATATGGATATGTAATTTATTGGAAATTATGATTTCATTTAAAATTGGATATGAATGTTCGGTTTCCTTTACATTTTTCACTTGCCAATATTCATATGCATAAAATGAAGTGTAATATTTCGGTCCACTATTCTGCTACCTCATGCATGTTTCCATATTTTCCAAAAATTTGCACATATCTCATATAAAGTAAAGGAAGTAGACATTGTGGTCCAAATATGGCACGTTGTAATATTTATATCAGTCTCAGGTCAGATACGATTTGGACAATATTGGCCAACTGCTTCGGAACCTCCACCACAAAGGATCAACAGTTAGCTCAATCATAATTCAAGACTGGAGGTATACATCTGCCGGCAAAACCGGCTGATTCTATTAAATTTTTTCTGATATAAAAATCTAAGGTCTCAAGTGATTGATCCCGCAGACTACAACGTGCTTCCATGGGCATGTGTACCAAACCAATTTCAAATATTTCGTGGAATTTGCCAAGATCACAGAGATGTCTCTGACATACACCTATAAATATTCATAAACAATTGATGTCTAAGAATCAAAATGTATTTCCACTATGACAACATTTCAAGGTCACAACACAGCGCTACAAACACTAACAACCTGCCACTTTTGTTTTCTAAACACCTGATGTCCAAAACAATTAAAATTCTAATCCAAACTATTAATCGGTTGCCATTTATTCCCAATAAAAAATAAGAGAAAAAAAATTTTTACTAATTTTAATTTATGACATCTGTGTATCGTTTTTTGGCGAAAAAATACCCAGTTTTAAATTTGCATTTAATTTGTTTAAGAAGCCACATTTTTTTCGTGGAATTTAATTAACTGACCATACATCAACGTGGAATACAGCTTTAACAAAAAAATGCAAATATTTCCTTTAACTTTATTTTAAGCATGGCATAATATTAATAGATGATGACTTGTTTTTCAAGTTTCGATTTCGTCTTTTTTTTTTTTTTGTTATTTTTTAGGCGAATCTTTTTGTTCGGTGTTTTCTATATTTTCGTTTTCTGCATTTTTTTTTTTTTTTTTTTTGCTTTTTCAGTGATTTTACTCTTAACCCCAGCTTTGAGGTTTTTTTCTGTAGTGAATACACTTTGAATTTTTTCATTGCTAAGAGTTTTTTGCTCCGCCACTTTGAATAGCAAAATTGTGTCTAGCCTCTAAGCCTATTAACAAAGTGGGAAATATTGTTTTTGGGACACCTATTCGAGGATTGGTTTTTTTCATGTCTGAGATTAAATACTGAGGCGAAATCCGATTTATTTAAGGATTCCGAATGGATCTTAAAAAAATTGAGAAATAAAAAGGGAAAAATTGAATATCACAAAATTATATGGCACGATGACTTTTTTGACATTTTCGATACCAGGTCAATTTCTCCCATCTGATGTCGAATATATATCGATCGAAATTAATGTGTGTATGCTCATTTCAAAATAATAAAACTTAAAATCTTGGTATATAAACTGGGATTTAACTCTAATCTTTCAACACTTGTTTCGACCGAATTTTTCAATTTTATCAAGCCTACTTTTCAAAATTTCCGATTCATTCCGTTCTAAATCTTTTCGAATATCGGATCCGAGAATTGGGACCACATTTGATTTTTGCTGGTTATTATAAG